AATGTCCTTCAACATCTGTACCTCATCCCGGATAGGTCCTGCCAATGTTGTGGCTGAACTTCTGATTTTTTGCTTCACCAGTCGGGTTGTCAGACCCACGTTCAATCGATGACATGGCGCGTCGATCGACATGCCAAGCGTTTCGGCTGTTGTCCATGCAAAGACATCTCAATTCTCCCGGAGGGTTCTGTTAAAATATTCTTTGTGTCATGCGTCAAAAGCTTCACTAATAAGAAGATATTCACTGGTTCATCTTCGTCAGCAGGGACCTTAAAGGTGTTCTCGTTGGTTTCGAGACAACCTCCCCTCAAGTTCTGGATGTCTAGGTGGTCGTGTTCCACACTACTTATGGCTCACAGATAACACACCCGAGACTGCTCCAGGTCTCCCCTGATTGTGATGACCTCTCCATCCTCAGGAAACTCAGAGTGGTCAATCGATTATGACATTATACGTTGGGGGAGAGACCACCACGAGGAAGTCCTCCGTCGACGTAAATTGTTTTCCATTTTCTTCCCACATGACCGGGAGTCTGATTATTTTGAGGGCTTCCTTTCTCTAGAGAAACCGTACAGTGGTTCCACTGGTGTAGTCATTCGGTCGATGGTGAGACTTAACTTGTCAAAAAGCTTTTTAAACAGTACATTCATAGAGCATCTTATGTCAATGAGAATGCTCTCCATCTGATAGTTGTTGTCGACTGCCATTATTATAATGGCGTCGTTGTGGGGGTTACCCTTTGGGGGTGATCCTTGTCGGTGAAGTAGATAGGTGGATGACTTTTAAGTTTTAAAGCGAAAGCTGCGGCGCAAATTTCCCTAGTCTGTTGTCTTTTCCGGTTCGCTCGCTTGGGTGGTTCGATCTCTCAAACTATGGCGGGCACAAATCTCACGTGTGGATGGCGTTGGTGCAGATTGGTTCGTCGGGTGTTCCGCCCATTGGGCCTGTCTCTGGATCCAGGCCCCCGGGGCGACAAACTCCTTGAACTTCCCTTCCTTTATCAGCTTATCCATGTCATGGCTGTGATCTCTCTGTAGTACTTACATTATTTTCTGCTGTCCTCGAGGAAGGGCTCCTATTCTCATTGACGGAAGAAATCCTTGTCTTGAGTAGCTTCTACTATCTCAAGCATTGATGCCCTTAGAGGGGTGGTTCTAGGGACCTCGTGGTTGTACTGAGGTCATTTGTGGTTTTCTATCAATCGCTGATCACGAGTCTTCTCTTGTATTTTTTGGTCGACTTAAGGATGTGTGGAGTTGTTGCGGGGGTGATTTTCATGACATGGGCGGATGGGTGGTCACGCTTTCTCCCTTACTTTCTACTAACTGCCCTAAGATGGTTGCTTCTCATGTCTTTGTTTGGAGGACTTAGGAGCATTTTCATATGCATTGGTGTATTTGTTGGTCATCTCCAATAACTCGGCCAGACTTTGGGGCTCTGTAAGATCGAGGTCAAAGCGGAGTCTCTCCGATCTCAATCCTTAAACTTGCGTTAGAGCGGCTTGAGCCATGTCGGGTTTCAAATCCTTCACCTATAGTGTTTCTCTCTGGAAATGTGTAATGAATGAGCACAAGCTCTCATTCGGCCACTGTTTTAATTGCCATAGAGACCGAACACTCTTCTTTGGTCTTAACGCACTAGCAAATCGTGTAAGAAAAATCCTTCTAAATTTTGCATAGCAGGTAATTACCCCAACTGCTAATGCATTGAACCATCTCAGAGCAGATAATCTCAATATTGTAAAGAACAGCTTGCACATTGAAGATTCAAAAGACGCAAGTTGGTTGTTGGGATCCAATCGTCTCTTGTATGTGTTTTTTGGTCGCCTTAAGGATGTGTGGAGTTGTTGCTGGGGTGATTTTCATAACGTGGGTGGATGGGTGGTCGTGCTTTCTTCCTTACTTTCCATTAGCCCATTAGGTGCCCTGCGATGGTTGCTTCTGATGTCTTTGTTCGGAAGACTTAGGAACATTTTCATAAGCGTTGATGTATTTGTTGGCCATCTCCAATAATTCGGTCAGACTTTGGGGCTATGCAAGATCGAGGTTAAAGCGGAATCTCTCCGATCTCAACCCAGTGTCAAGGCGGCTTGAGCCATGTCGGGTTTCAAATCCTTCACCTCTAGTGTTTCTCTTTGGAAATGTGCAACGAATGAGCGCAAGCTCACGTTGGGTCACTGTTTTAATTGCCATAGAGACTGAACACTCTTCTTAGGTCTTAGTGCACTGGCAAATCGTGTTAGAAAAAGCCTTCTAAATTTTGCATAGCAGGTAATTACCCCAACTGATAATGCATTGAACCATCTCAGAGCAAATGATCTCAATGTTGTAAAGAACAGTTTGCACTTAAAGGCATTGAAGATCTTTAGTAAGCACATTGAAAATTCAAAAGACGCAAGTTGGTTGTTGGGATCCGATCGTCCCTTGTATGACTCCAAGGCTAGCAGCTTAAACTTTTCTAGGGGTTTAACTTCAAAGATCTATAATGAGAAAATGCTTTTCGGTTGTCGAGTCATTTCAACCCGCCCAATTCACTATCTTTCTACCACCTGGGCGAATTCGGTACATCATATCTTCAACCCTCTCCTACAGGTGGTTTGTCCTCCTTTCATTATGCATTGGGGGTCCTTCTCGAGGGGGTTCATGTGCCTCAAGCTGGCTTATCCCACCCACCCACACACGGGAGAGGGGCTTCCCTCAAGGCTGCGATTGCTCCGAGTATTTTTGCAAATTGTCCCGACATCTGATTAGTGATCCGAGTTCTCAAGTCCTGCAGTCCCTGTTGAACAAATCCTTCCATATACTCTTTGGTGCATCCCGTTTTTACCATGTTCCTCTAACTGGTTTCTCCTTGTTGTGATTGTTGTTATGCTTCTCTTTTTATTGATGACATGGTTCCACGTTCATTGCACCTTAAAGGATGTTGAATTCGAAAGTGTCTAGGAAACACACCCATGGAATAAAGCGTGCTTGAAAGAAGGAGAAACAATAGAGAATAGTGAAAATGCGCGGCCTTTTATTATGAAATGTTCTCTTTTTATAGCCATAGGTGGTCTGAATGTTACCATTACAAATTTACCCTCTAATCATTAGACTTTGCCAGGGCCACCTTAGTAAATCTTCAAGAGAATACAATAGAATATTTATAAAAGCCATCTGACTGGTGCTTAGGCTGGCGACCATATTGGTCGATCGATCACTTTGCGAGGACAACTTGTAGGAACTGTAGGAATTCTATCGTTGATGATTTCAATCCATTATCAGTCGTCTCGAGTCTTGCCTACCATCTACACTCTCTTCGGTTGATATTTGGCCCTATCAAGCTGACAACTGATTGAGTGGCCCGATGCATGGTGCACCAATTGAAGTTCTTCTTGGGTCATTTTGTATGTCACCGTTCGTCTTCCTCCGATCTTCTTGCCTCTTGAGATCTTT